TATGCCCCCCCCCATAATGCATATGTGCTTGCCAGAAAGAGAGAGAAAGCATCCCTCTCGCAGTGGTGCAGGGTTATGCCACAGTCCTTTTTCTTCTGTTCCTCCTTCCCATCATGTTTGGGCATGCATTATGTGCACCCAGCATGTTTTTCAAGCAACAGGGGCCAGAATTTGAACCATCATTGGCCATGTGAGATCTAGTTCCCTTATCCACTGAACTATGAGGTCAACCTGGCCTATTATTTTTATAATGATATGTTTTTATTGTAGAATTGAAGACTATACAATTTTGTTGTTGTTACTTTTATTGCTTGAGAGCAATTGAATAGCTATAATTTTCAGGGCAAGCTTATAGTATCGATTTAAGTAATACTTGTTTCAAATGCAGATTTGAGGGTGCTGTCTCCCATCATTCTAATCTGGTATACCATGAGTGGAGTTTAGGAATCTACCGTTCCAACAAGCACTTCAGAAGATTTTAATTTAGGTGGTCGCCAGAAAAGAAAAATATTATTAAAAAATACATTTTTCATAAAAAAGATTTTAAAATTAAGAAAATAAGAATCAGTTTTGAAAAAACAAAAGAAGAATCTTGTTTTTATTTTTTTAAATAATAATGGGATGTGATTAGAGTATAATTCGTTAAGAAGCAAGGCAGATACACTGTGGAAAGTCTGGATGTGCCAGGACCCGGGGCCCTTCGAAGCCCACCCCTGTCTGAAACTCAGTGGTGACTTTACTGTCTCTGTCCCGCCTTGTGGCTTTTTTCCTACCCCTCTTAACAGAGGAGACATAGGTATTATGACTACCTGCCATTGGAAATACTGACTATAACGTAAAACAATCATGAGGCTGCTTTGGAAATCCAGACTGAAGTCATTACATTCATTCCACACTTAGAAAATACTCCTTTCCAATTTGTTGAATTTAATGTGCTATAATCACAGGTGTACCAGCTTTAAATGTAGACTCCAAACTAGATCACTGTAGCTTCTTAGAAGCATTGAAGGGTACTGCAAGGTCACAGTCACATTACACGTAAACTAACCCTGAAAGATACAATCTTAAAAGCTGCAAGTAAAAGAAATTTTACAGCTTTGCTTAGCAGTTGTGTGTTTCAGGGCTTGAAATCTTTCAACAGAAATCCTTCTGCATGTTTTATTCAAGCTGTCTATGCCATATTCAGAAAGCCTGTGCTTGAGAGAAGGAAACACTGCTCACTAAATTCACATGACTCTAAGTTTTTTCTTCTTGTTGTTGGTTGTTTTAATGCAAAATGTAAAACCATTTCCTTTGCCTTTTCACATAGCCCTCAAGAAACAGTTCCATCAATATTTTGCCCCTGCTTCTTTTCAATCTAATGTGATGGTGACAATGACTGTTACATATGGAATCTTTCCTTCAGCTTTGTTTCTATTGTCAAATATTGCTGTGTTTGGAAACCTTTAAAATAGCTACTAAATTTATCAGGGACTTTATTTATTAGTCTAGTAGTGTGACTGTCACTAGCCAACACCAGCCTATTTCAGCTTCCTGGTCCTCGTCTCCTTCGGATGAGGGACTTAAACTAGATACTTTTGTTCCTTTACGAGCTCCTGAAGTTGTTGATTACAGAGACCGGATGGGTTTAATCCAGGATAATTTTGTGGCAATAAAGGACTCTTTTGAAAAGAGCATTGTTACTTCCTTGCTCTTTTTTTGTCTTTTCTAAGGTAACATCTTTGTTCTGATATAACATCTCTTTTGATGATGATAGTCTGCTCAGAAAAAGAAAGGAGGAGAGGAAGGAGGGAGAAAGAGAAAAGACAGGAGAGAGAGAGAGACAGAAGAAGAAGGGAAAGATTGAGGAGGAACAGGAAAAAGAAGAATGGCAAGAAGGAAATAAAATAGTGGCCAAAACTAGTAGCAAGAAGCATTAGATACCACAGATGCACAGTTGAACATGATACCATGGGCAAGCCCTATAGCCTAGTGGTTAAGGGAGCCAGATCCCACATGGCCAACCACTGTTCGAATCCTGACCTTAGTGGCTTGAAAAACTTGCTGGGTATGTGTGAGTGCATGCCCAAAGTCTGACAGGTTGGAGAAATGGAAGAGAAGGTATTATAGCATGACCATTCCCCATGAGGTGGGGGTGGGGTGGGGGGGGGTTCTTTCTCTCCTTCTCTGTCTCCTTCTCACTCTTGCAAGTGCACGTACTCTCCAGCAATTAAAAAGAAAATGATACTTTGAGCTTGTTCGTGGTGCCTGAGCAACTCTCTCTGAGGGCCTAATAAAACATAATGTGGGGGCCAGCAGTTAGTGTAGTGGCTATGTCGCTGGACTCCCATGTAGTCGACCACAGTTCGAGTCCCAGACTCGGTGGCTAAAAACTCACACCAGGCGCATGTGCGTGCATGCCCAAGATCCTGAGAAGAGAATGGAGGAGACGAGATTGCAGCGTAGCCATCCCCCCTGGGGGGTGATTTCTCGCTTTCTGTCTCTCTGTCTCTTTTTGGCGAGCACACGCACCCTACAGAAAAAAAATAAATAAGAATGTGTTGAATCAAAGCGCACTAGGCTACTCATGATTTGGGGATGTTATTCACTGCCCTGATTTCTCCTAAGGTAAGATATTTGACAGGTGAATGCTATTTCTTTTGATGCTCCTTTATTCAGTATCCAATTTTATTTGTAAGTTTTAATATCATAGATGGTATTAATAGCCTGCTAAGATGTTTGTTCTTGTTACTGTTCCATCCTTCTTTATGAAGAGACTTGAGAGCTCTGTGGGAGGCTGTCTTGCAGGGTCATTTCTGTGTAGCTCTTGAAGACTGCATCTAGGCTTCAAGAATCTGAAGAAAGGGAACCAGCAGTTAGTGTAATGGCTATGTCGCTGGACTTCCATATTGTCGACGGCGGTTCGTGTCCCAGACCCGGTGGCTTAGAACTCACGCCGGGCGCATGTGCGTGCGTGCCCAAGATCCCGAGAGGAGAATGGAGGAGAAGGGATTGCGGCGTGACCATCCCCCCTGGGGAGTGATTTCTCGCTTTCTGTCTCTCTGTCTCTCTCTGTCTGTCTGGCGAGCGCACGCGCCCTATAGTGAAAACCTCTCCAAAAATAAAAAAAGAATCTGAAGAAATAGCTTCTGGTCCCTGTGCTCCTTATGGTGGGCAAACTGCAGACCACATGGACAGGAATGTCAGCAGATCTGAACAGTGTACATTCCT